CAGCCTCCTGTTCCATGCCCGGCGACTGTAGTGGTGAGCGGATGGAGTGATTCGACTGGTGTGCCCCCATTCCCCTAGTAGGGAAAGAGGCTACGAGGTGATGTCGTGATGCAGAGCTCTCTGCCTGTTGAACGGCGGCGGTCTCCACCAATGCCCGGAGGTTCTGATGGATCGCCTGCTCCTAGGGGTCGACAGGCTCAGGAAGGCTGCGCGGAAGCATTGCTGCAGCGGCGATGTTCTGGCCAGCCCAAGCGAACTGTGGGGGATCGTTTCCTCCATCCATGATGTTGCGTTGGACCTGACCCACGTGTGGCGCAGCGTGCTGCGCCGAGCATGCCAGCGCAAGTGGTAGTTGGCTCTTCCGCCTTTGTCGCAACTCTTCACCGTGCTCCTATGCACGAGCGAGGGCCTCCACATGAGGGTCCGGAGGGGTGTGAGTCTGTAGAGACTCTGCTACCACTAGCGGCTATCCCAGAGCGTCCACCATAGCGTACTCTCAGGATAGAGGGTGGCTAGGTGCCACGACGTCGCCGATGCTGGAGCCGTCGCTTTCAACCTCGTCATCCATGAGGTCATGGAAAGAGGCGGGAGCGTAGCCCGCCATCCTCATGAATTCGGATGTGAGAGGGGGCGGCATCAGCATATTTTGGAGCCCCCGTGCGTACGCGTCCGTGGGGGACGCAAGGCCATAGGGGAACTGGTCGCACGGCGGTTGCGGTGGGGACAACGGGGTCCCTCTAGAGAGTCGGTGAAAGATATTAAATAGCGAGTAAAGAACAATATGTACGTTACTCACAGTGCGGTTTGAGCCCAGCATGGGCTCAGAGTGAAGCGTAGGTGTCTCATCGTTGAGGTTGTCGGGTGGCCCGGAGCCGACGGAGGGCGCTCTTCCTCCGACGGGCGTCGGGACAAGTGCCTCCTCGTGGAAGCAAAGCATGCCGAGCTAGCCAGCGACAAAATCCAGGCTTCTAAAGAGGAAGGTCTGGAATGGCTCAAAGATGGGAGGAACCCACGTCCCAACAGGCGGGAGCGTGGGAAAATCTAGCGAGCCAAAGCGAATCGTATCGCTTGAGACCGTCATGCTGAAGATGGCGGAAAGGTGGGCCATCCGATGACCAAAAGCATAAACATACGGCGTCTTCCCCACCGACGACGCCAACTGTCGGTGCGAAAAGTGACCAACAAGTAAATATTTGTAGTTTTGTCATGCGTTGTGATCAGATGTGGCCTAGCACTCAATGACACAGGGTTTATACTGGTTCAGGCAACGTGCCCTACGTCCAGTTTCAGTCAGTCGGTGACTTTATTCCTGAACCCAGGTGCTCGAAGTTTACTGTGGGGTTATAAACGAGTGAGAATGAGAAGGGAGGTGTTAAAGGTCCGGTCGAGCTCTAGACCAAAGGGCCAGGAGTGATGGGAGCTCCTACGTGCGCTAAGTATTGGAACATATGATCTATATAGCTTTAGAGTTCTAGAGCCATGGAGCTGTTCGATTGCTTAGAATGTCTAAAGCTTAGCAGAGAGAGAGTCAAAATGACCGTCCTCCGTTGGGAGAGAGCGCATCCCCTTTTATAGGTTAAGGGGATGGCCTTACAAGTGTGAGAGAGAGAGAGTGTGTGTGCTCGTGTTTTACTAAGTCTTGTTGCCCACGATGTCAGGTACAAGACGGTCGTCGGCAGCCACAATACTGTTTATGTCAGACGCGTGTGGCAGGCTTTACCGTGTTCGCCTGGTATGGCAAATGACGGCGCCCACAATACTGTAAGACAAACACTGGTGTCCACAACACTATTTGGGTTCTGACATGCCTGGAAGGTTGCAAAGCACCCTTCTGGCATGGCCTGGCTGTACTGTCCTACAGATGTGCAGGGTACGGTCCTCGGTATTGCGGTTGACTTGAGCGCCTTGCCTTATCTGCTCCGCCCAATTCTTGGGTCCTCACCGAGCGGGCGTCCCTGGTCGGTTGTTCCCAGTCAGCTCCGACCGCGTCGGTCAGAGAAGAGCTATAAGCAGAGGTTCAGTGTATTCCCGATCAGAAAAGCGGGTCGGAGTCGGAAGCGAGTGTTGTCCCCTCCTTGGCCAGGCCTTCCGGTCGGAGACTGGATTGCTCTTCCGATCTGTCGAAAGCGAGTGTTGTAATGCCGTCTGCTGGGCCGAGCTTTTGCTGGGAAGCGGGCCCATCGGGGACCCTGAGTTTATGAACCCGACAATATGTGTGAAAACATATGCAATATCTAGATAAACACACTTTGTAACTTGCAACATGAAAACACTTGCTGCAATAGAAGACTGAAACATATTGGAACATACACACTGTTACAACATGTGTGTGAAACCATATACAACATCCAGATCAAAACACTTGCAACATACGTCTGGAAATAGATGAAACATTTTGAACAAACACTCGCAACGTGCCTCCGAAAAACTTGCAACATATGCAACATCCTCCGATCTACTTTTGCAACATCCGTATGAAACAATTACAACATACCTCTGAAACGTCTAAAACAATTGAAACATACATTTACAACATAGGGGGAGAGAGGACTAGGCCGGTCGATTTCAGCCGACGGGGTGGGAGTCGGCGGCGAGCACCACCTAGCACCAGCAGCGGTGGCGCGCGAGCACCACCGCCACCAGCTAGCACCGGGCTTGGCTCGACGACAACGGTGGGGGATGGGGAGCAGAGAGCTCCATGGTCATGGGGGGTGGGGGAGCTTGGTCGCCGAGGTGAGAGAGGGCGCCACCAGGGGTGGGGAGGGCACCGCGCCAGGGTGGGGAGAGCCGCCCAGTCCCCTGCAACATCGTTGCGCCACCTTCATGGATCTCGTCGGAGACGAGTGGATCTCCCTCATGCTCCATGGATCTCGCCGCAGTGGGAGAGAAGGTCGCCGGATCTACAGGCATTGGGGGCTCCCGGTGGGGGAGGGATGCCAGGGTGGGGGAGGACTCGGGGCGTTGGTGCACCGCGTCAGGGGATGAGGAGTGCGGAAGGGGTAAGGATGGGGAGGAGGAAGCAAAGGGATAAGTTTTTTAACATACATGCGGCGGGAGCGAGCGGCGGGGGTGAAAAGTCGTCCGACGTTTGTGCGATCCGTCGGACGTCTGACACATAGCATTTCCGTATATCTATACCTCTGTATCTATATCTCTATCTAATATTGTTATGTATATCTAATTTCTATCTCTATTCTCTACCTAATAATATTAAAGAGCGAACCGTTTCTTCCAACCCGATTTTTTATTCCCAAAATATCCCATGCTCTTTGTGTCTCATATGTAACCCAGAAGGATGCTCCAGGACTGTATGAGTTAGAATAATTAACTCATATCGAACTATAGTACGAAGTCCAGTTATAAGACATATTAGGTTTTGTTGTAGCACATTGACATCTTTGATGGTAATATTAAAGAGCAAATGATTTCTTCTATCCAGTTTTTTTTTATTTCCCAAACTACCCTCATGTCTTTCATGACTCATGACCCATACTTATATGAGTTAGAGTTAGAGCAAGTCGGTTCTGACGATGATACATAGTTCGATTTCAAGACTTATAGGGGTCCCGCCTTTTTTACTTTCCAAATTGCCATCGCACCCTCCTTATCCCATATACATGTGACCTAGATTGGTTTTTTTGAACATAAGACCTAGATTTGTTGTATGGTGACTCGAATTCTACTTGTAATATAATAGGGGGTCCTGCTTTTTTACTTTCCAAATTGCCATCACGCCCTCCTTATCCCATATACATGTGACCTAGATTTGTTTTTTTTAACATAAGACCTAGATTTGTTGTATGGTAACTCGAATCCTACCTGTAGTATATAGGACTAAGAGAGGTTTGCTATTAGAATTTCTAGTTCTGAAATAAGCTAAAATAAACTACCAGCTTATAAACATGAAATCAACAAAGCTACCTTATACAGTATAACCTAGCACCTTTAAGTTGATGATCATCCTATAAAATTCGGCCAGAAAAATAAAGGCCTGAAACTTATATTTGTAAGCTTATTATCTGTAGTCAAGGTCACGTAATTCGGCTGCGCGCAGATCAAGACCTGCCTTCGATTTTTTCCGAGTAGGGCCTTGTTTAGATACCCTTAAAATTCTAAGTTTTTTCACTCTCTCTCCATCACATCAATTTTTAGCTGTTTGTATGGAGCATTAAATGTAGGTAAAAAAATAACTAATTGCACAGTTTAGTTGGAAAATCACGAGATGAATCTTTTGAGCTTAGTTGGTCCACGATTAAACAATATTTACCAAATAAGACGAAAGTGCTACTATTCATCGGGTTGAAATTTTTTTCAATCTAAACAAGGCCTAGATAAGGATAAGGGCATAAGACCATGGCCTTGTTTAGATTGCAAGTTTTTTCACTCTTTCTTCGTCACATTAAATCTTTGGATATATGTATGGAGTATTAAATGTAGATAAAAAAAATACTAATTACACAGTTCGATTGTAAATTATGAAACAAATTTTTTGAGCCTAGTTAGGCTATGATTGGACAATAATTGTCAAATACAAACAAAAATACTATAGTGCCAAATACTGATTCCTATTCCCAATTTAAACGAGGCCCATGATTCCCAGATCCCACTTTAGCACTAGTGAAGAGATTCTGATGAGCCGTGACGGCCTGGTTTCTAGTGGTTGCATTGTTGGACCATGTCAAGGCCACCTCAACACACTCACTGCTGACTGGCGAGTGGTGAGCCGAGTCCAGACAATACTAGCGGCACGGGCGCCGAGAGAGGAGGAAAGAGGAACACAGGAAGGGCCTTTTTTGGCATGGTTTATGTCGGCTTTGGCTCCATCTATTTTGCGTAAATCGAGATACTATAGCGTGAAGTCGTTTTGTAAGTCGGGATTAAAATGAACTAAAAACCGAAAAAAACAGTTTTTCTGGTTTCATCGATTTTGGCTTCACTGGTAAAACTGTTTTAGATGAGCCATGCTAAAAAGGCCGAAGTCTTGCTCCACGAGACAAGACATGGCAAGTCTTGCTCCACCTGGCAGCGAGGCAGCAGCGGCACCTGGAACCGGAGGCGATCATCGCCGATCGGATGCGGGCGATTCGCATCCAACGACCCGTAGGGCCTCTGCCACGACCTCACTTCCACATCCTGCCGTCCGACGGTCCAGGAGTCAGGACGCCCGCGTTAAGCAAACGACCCAGCACCGCGTCCCCAGCGCGTAGTTAAAAAAACGCGGGCGGGCGCAGCGCACCCGTCGCTTCATGGCTGCTTCGTCCATCTCGCCCAAGTCGTTCTCTCCTCTCCCCTCGGCTCCCCAGCAGGCAGCAGGAGCAGCCAGCCAGCCCACCCGCGACGCCTCCAGCCTCCCCACCCAGTGCCGCCACTCCTAGACTTGACTCGTTCGCTGGACCGAACGGACACCGCCTCGCGCTCTTCGCCGTGCTTCTCCGGGCTCCTCCTCTCCTCCCCGCCCGGCGGCGCCGTCCTGGTGGTTCCGCGGGGCGCCGGTCGGGCGCGATCGGCCGTGCGGCCACCCGGCTCCGGAGAGGTGAGCCTATCCCATCCTCGCCTTGTCGTCTCTATTCGTCTGGTGCTGGTGGGGCCTGGTCGGGTGCTGTGTTTCTGTTGGGGTTCCTCTGTTCTAGGCGTCCCTGGCGCTCGGGGGTGACTGTGCAGCGTGTGCGATGCGGCAACGTTGGTGGATTTTCGCTTAGGATGGGGGTGACATCTGCTGATCGTGGGACTCGCTTGGTTAGGGTTCGTGGCATTTATTTGGTCGGTTAAAGTTTCGGCTGCCGATCCTAGGTCGCCGCGTTTTTCGTCAACGGGAATTTCCTGTAACTTTTTGAAGGGTTTTGGCTCTGATTGGTGCCGAGGTCAATAGTCTGGGGATTCTTCTTCTTCTTCGGTGCGAAATCAGGTGTCCTGAGAAATCGCATCAAACGTGGATTCTGGTGATTGTGTCCAGTGTCCTCCTTTCTTGCCTTCGGTTGCATTCTGGCAGTGGGAAGGAGCAGGAGAGCTCTGCTTGGAACTTGGTGATTTTTGGGGGCGGATTTTGAGCTCCTCGAGCGAATGTTGACTGCTTATCTGGGTTCTGGATAACTGCTGTCACTAGCACTCCGAGTCATTGATACTTGTGGTTGTGGGATTCAGAAGTTCACTGAAATAATTAGATGATGAAGTTGTTCCCGATTTATCCATAGAGAGAACAACCAAATCAGTTGTACTTTTTATATTTACATCCTATCGTAATAGATTAGTGCGAGCACACATTTTTAGCAGGCTTTAAGCTTCCTTTCTCAGTTCAGCGATTTATTGCTGATGGTGGCCCTGTCAAGTCTTATAAAGAAAACATGTACGTTAGATGGAAAATATTGTTCACAGAGAAAAATGGATCTGTTGCCTCCCTTGGAAATGGATTTTTGGCTTCTTCTATGTCTTCAGTATTTTGCTTTTGTTACACTATATGCTGAAAACGCTTCCATGCTTGAAAACAATGCAATTGGTCCTTTTGAGTTTCGTGGAACTGCTATTGTGCAGCTACCTTTGTTCATTGACTATATGTTTTGGTGGATTTTTTTTTCCACTAGCAAAATTTTACTTTGCGATATAGGGGGAAAGAGTGAAGGACTCAAATCCTTCGTTTTTTGTTGTAATGCTTTAGAAATTTCTGCTTTGTTTTGAGAAATGAGAATCAAGGCCTCAAGAGCTTCTTCTACTGGAAGAGTTAATGAGCTCAATGTACATGATTGTTTACCATGACAGATCAATATATATTTTGCATTTGTAGGCATGGCTGTTTACATCAATCATTTGAGAATCCATACTTTTGAATTATTATGGTTCTGATCATGCTTGTGCTTTTGTTTGTGTTTTGTGGTTAATGCAGATATATTGTAAAATGGAAGTACTGCGTGATATGCACCTGCCACCAGGATTTGGATTCCATCCTTCGGATCCTGAACTTATTTCTCACTATCTGAAGAGGAAAATACTTGGCCAGAAAATTGAATATGATCTTATACCAGAGGTGGATATATACAAGCATGAACCATGGGATTTATCTGGTAGGTTGACCATGCTTTCATAGTTTTTAGTTGAAGTTCGTGGAGAACTTTGCCAAAAAAAAGTATCTCAAGTTTTATCTATGAGTTTGGCCTAGATGTGATATCTAGTTGAATCCTATGAAGTCCTTGTGAATCATAGACAGCTAGACGAGAAATATTTTTCAATCAAGTTTATCACTGATGCAGCTTTTTTGTTTTACATTAAAGTGATTCCTGTCAATCTGTATCCTCTTTATCTAGTATCTGTTCTTTAGCTCTGTGGATGAAGTTTTCTGCTATTTGCACCACTTATTAATGCAATCCAAATGTTCTTTCCTATTGCATGGCTCATATCCTCATATTTTCTGATTTTCTGAGTTCTGATGGTATTTGCAGCAAAGTGCAATCTTCCAATCAAGGACAACAAGTGGCATTTCTTTGCCTCTCGTGACAGGAAGTACCCTACTGGCTCTAGGTCAAACAGGGCAACACTCGCTGGTTACTGGAAATCAACTGGAAAGGACCGAGCCATAAAGCTGAACAAGCGAACTCTAGGAACAAAGAAGACTTTAGTTTTTCATGAAGGCCGTCCTCCCTCTGGCAGACGCACTGAGTGGATTATGCATGAGTACTACATAGACGAGAATGAATGTAAAGTCAGCCCTGATATGAAGGTATTGCACTGTTGATTGTAATACATGTTTCTGAGTAATATAATAGTGGTTTCAGATAATTGTATCTTGAAGAGTATACATATTAGATCTTGCTTCGTGTATTTATATGTTATAGGACTTACTATAGATGGCATAGATGGGCTGTGCCACATGGGCTGGCACCAGGTCCGACTTACTGTGTGGTGTGCCTTCAAGCCATCTTGCAGTCAATTTGCTTGGTTATATGATTATCCTATAATCTATTGCCTAAGGTTGAGGTCTAGTATGCTAATGTAGTTTTTTGTTTTTCTGCAGGATGCCTTTGTCCTCTGCCGTGTTACTAAAAGAAATGACTGGGCATTAGATAATGATAATGAGGTGGGCAACAGGAACTCTCATCTGGAACAACTAGATGATGCTGCTACATCAGTTGTCAGCACTGTAAAGCCAGAAGATGCTGCTGCCTCAGTCATCTGTCCAGAAGAATCGAATCATGCTGCTACACCAGTTGGCAGTGCTGAACTATCTAATGATGGTGCTCAGGCAGCTATCACTCCTGATTCAACATCTCCAAATGGTGGTAATGATCTGGAAACATGGCTGGAAGAACTGTTGGATCCTTCACCTTCATTTAACCTCGTAGGTGATACTGGTTCTGCTGACGTGTCTCTGACTGAACAATGTGCTGAATCAACGGTAAGTTTCTGTGGCTCACAGTCGTTCTAGACTTTTTTGAGTAAATTACGCTGTCAGTCCATAAGCTTCTCCCAATGTGTTCATACATGTCCCTAAAAGAACAATAAAATATAAATTTGGGTCCTTAAACTTACTAAGTGCAGGGACACCAATATCTAGTATGTCGTGGGGCACCCAAAATTTGGATTTGTTTTTTTATATAGTTGATACCCTGTTTGGTAGAGCTTATATCTAATGGGCATGTTTGGTACAGCTTCTTCTGCCCTTGATTCTCTGAGAGAAGTAATTTTGTGGCTGAAAGTGGATTCTCTAAGATAAACTATAGGTAAAAGGTCATTCTGTGTGAGAAGTGAATTAGGAAAAGCTAATTTTTCAGCTCCTAGGCTGTTGGTTCATTTCAGAGAATCACTTTGCGGAATCAGCATAGAATCACTTCTCTATAAATTACTGTTTGGGTTTGGCAGAGCTTCTCCTGGATAGAATCTGCGTCAGGAGCTCTGTCAAACAAGCCCTTAGGTTAGCATAATGTTTTTATTTTCCTTGGAAAGCTCTAAAGTCAAAATAAAAATAATGAATCTCTGCAAAAGTATGAAGAGTGAATAACTCATGTTGATAATTCAAAATATAAAGCGGCCATATTATTTTAAGTTTGTTTGATCTTTGGGATTTCTGGATATTTCCTCATTGGGTAAACTAAACCTATAACTACACATTCAGTTCCCTTGTCCCTAGTAATCAGTATTTTTCTCTTTGGACCATGGAAAACTCTTTCTGCAAATTGTCAATTCTTTCTCTGTTATTGTATTGCACATGCTTTATTGTATTTTGGCTGGGAGTTTTTATTCACTGCTTTCAGAAATTGCGTACTTGTTTGCACTGGTCCAACACCCTTTGCATTTGTTTTCCTTGCAGAATTTGCAGAATCCTGGTTCCGTGGCTCCGAATATTGGACCAGGCCATGCTAGCCCTATCCAGGATGGAACAGATGCCACAAACTACCTATTCATTGATGATCTTCCCGAGGATCTTTACAGTATGTTGTATCCTGGTAGTGACCAGTTCAATGACAGTATATTCTTGGAACAAGCTGGCCAGGAAGGTATTGCTTTTCCTACCAACCAAGCATATATGATGGGAACAGATTCGTGTGCTCTTCCAAACAACTTTGAGAATGGAACTGCGAATGCTGAATTGCAGTTAGACCAGGAAAATAACAAGACGAATCTGTCAAATGGAAATATTGACAATGGAATTATAATACGAAGGCGCAGAGCAACCGCATCTCCTGCTAACAATTCACTAGCAGCTGTCAACTTTAAAATGCAGGTTGGAATTAAGAGGATGGTTACAAGTAATTCTGAATCTATCAACCAGACTATGAAGTTTACAGATAACAGTGGCCGTCGTCTTGATCTCAGGACTGATGTTGATCACCAGAAGAAAAATACAATGAATGTCATTTCTGCTCAGTCTGATGCAGCCAATCCTGAAGGCCACAGCAATCAAGGTTATCTCAAGGGCTTCAAAAGATGTTCATCAGCTGGATTCAAGGCATACATATTTGTTGCCTTTTTTGTGGTTGGAGTTGCTGCTGCTGCTGCTGCTGCAGTGCTGCATTATCACCGCTCTGGTGCCAACCTATAAATTTGAATCATCAAACATCAGCATGCTTAGTTGTAGCTCTAGTGGTCAGCGGCAGCACTGGCTTGAGCGTAGCATCTTCCCGGCTTGATCCTTGGAGTAGTTCGTCAGCTTTACTTGCATTGGACTGGAATGGTAATCGAGTTCCTCAGCTTTTCTCACTGGGGTTACTGGCCTTCTGGAGATACATTTGTGCGACTACTGATTCCCAGTTATCTCCACATGTTTTTTTGTGGTGCTGTACATATTAAGTTTTTTCTCTCTCTTTTTGATCGTCTAGTTGCTACCAACGGGTGCCTATCAAAAAAGGAAAAAAAAAGGGAAAAATGGTGGGGGCGTATGAACAAAAAAGATGTACCTTTGCCTGTTACTGTTATCCTTAGATTTGTAAATCTGAACTATGTTTATAAATGGTGATAGTGGATGACAACATAATTACACTAGAGACCGCTGCATGTTTGCATTGAGACCACTGCATTGTTTGCATTCTCTTTTATAATAGCATCTGTTTGAAGAAGTGAAGATGGTCTCTCGCTTGACTACAGAATTGTACTCCAGTAATCCATATGAATTCTGCTGTCTAAAAGTTTGGTAAGTACTTTAGGTTTCAGAATTTCCAATGATGTATCGTTTGTTTCATGTGCCGTATTTCTGGTTGGCATAAGCTAATTGATGCTGCCTGCTTGCATAGCTGCATGCAAGAGCTACAATTTTGGTGAAATGGAGGAAACAAGTTACGCTAGATGAATTTCCTATGATGTATCGTTTGTTTCATGTGTGCCGTATTTCTGGTTGGCATAAGCTAATTGCTGCTGCCTGCTTGCATAGTTGCATGCAAGAGCTACAATTTTGGTGAAATGGAAACAAGTTACGCTAGATGAATTTCCTATGATGTATCGTTTGTTTCATGTGCCGTATTTCTGGTTGGCATAAGCTAATTGCTGCTGCGGTGCTGCCTGCTTGCATAATTGCATGCAAGAGCTACAATTTTGGTGAAATGGAGTAAACAAGTCACGCTAAGATTGGTTACCGTGTGACTTAAGGACACTGCGCTATCTGGATACCTTACCTGCGATGAGACTTCGATAACGATTTTGTTTGTCTCAACTTCGCTTGCAGCGCAAACTAGATAAGCTAAATCTGTACCGAGTTCCAGAGCAAATCTTCTGCAAACAGGCAGAAGTTTACTAGCAATTTTTCTTCACTGTCAGCTAGGTGTATATGCGAACAAACGGATACTCAGTTCAGCCAATCTCATCGAAAAATTCTACCACTGAAGCCTTCAACTTGAATGCATTCGGCATTCCATCCAACAATAAGAAGTACCTTAGTCAATCATTAAAAAAAAACTGCGAGTACAATAAATAATCTAGCATGCTGGTTACATAATCTAGCAACCCAGCATTGGGCCTATCCAGGAAGGCCACACCGTTTCTGTTAGATTGCTACTATTACTAAGCTGCAACCGGGGCCTACAACAACCCTGTCTCGCATGGTATAAGAAACTTTGTTATCCTATCCTGGACTACTGGAACCTGCGCTACCATGCGCTCTGCACCAGTATCCGAATATGATGGCTGGGAGAAACTTCCAAATATGTTGGTTGCTCGGCAGCCCTTGTGCCAGTCTGAACTCCATCAGCATGCATGCTGGGGAGTTCGCCTCCTCTTAAAGACCCTTCCTGTGAAAAGAACACATTCAATTAATAATGTTATTGGCCAACTGTTCAGAGATGACACAAGAAATTCCAAATGCGACACTAATTTGAATTCATCCCCGTGATGACAAAAGGAATAGAACTAGTAACCTTCTATATGCAATTGATCTTACCAAAACATAATAATGGAGACCAGCCCACCTAATGACAATTGGAAACCATTCTACTCTCTCCAGTGTCTTGCCCAGAATCCCTTCTTTCTTGTCGAATCAGTTTCTGAGACTGACCGAGGTGGTCGAGATCCAATGGAGAAATGTCTCCTCAAAAATGGACGACTAAATGGGACCTTCATGCTTGAACTTGTACCTAACCTAGGCTCTCTTCTACCTTTCTTCTGGTGCTTATTACTGTTCCCATCTGGATTGATATCAACCGCCACATTTTTTGGTATCTTGTTCTTAATCTTTGATTCCAGCTTCCCAAATAGCTTCACTGTACATTTCTCACCATGCGTGCATACAGGGCATGGAGGATCATATTTATCAGCTTCTGTAGTTATGCTGTCCAGACAGTCAGCATGGTACACATGTCCACACAACAAAACAGCAACAACAGCCAGCTCCTGAGCGTTCCATGTCGATCTCTCCTTTAACAGCTTTAAACACAGCTTGCACACCTCTTGGTCAGGGGGAAGTGTAGTAGAATTCGAAGCACTTGATCTTGTCATTTTACTAGAAATGGATCCCAAGAGCTCACTATCAAGTGACCACCTCTCTCTTTGGGATGTGGCAACCATTTCAGAAAATGTGCGCATTGACCAACCATCGGATGACTCACCATAGGATCCTGCTGCTGATAAGTCATTGCTGCAGACTGATAACATGGAAGAGGAAGGCCTTCCTTCAGGAGAGCTTATCTCATTGAGAGATCTGAGAGATGGAATTTTACTGTCTGAAACCTGTGTGTATAATTGATACCCTGGTTGAGAATGCCCCCTGGAGGATGATGGATCTGCTCTGGATACTAAGGGTGGTGTTGATGGAACAGATACCGATGTCTTCAAATCGGAAGCAACACTTGACATGTCCAGTGATTTCCTGGAAAGCTTTGCCTGAACATATTAAAAAAAAAAGATGTCAGATAACAAATGCTGTGGTATTACAATTGCATGGAACCTAGAAGGTAATAACTTCTTCACAGGTAGCTTAATGATGCATACCTCAGGGGAAGAGTTGCTTGCTGTGGAGCGGTCAGCTGAAAATAAGTAGAAATCAGTAAACAAAGTCCATCAGGTAGGGAGATTACAATAATACTCCCTCCGTTCCAAATTATAAGACGTTATGAATTTTTTTAGATACATTGCTTTTACGATGTATCTAGACATAGTGTATATATAAGTGCATAACAAAAACTATGTATCTAGAAAAGCCAAAACATCTTGTAATTTGGAATGGAGGGAGTATAAAGGATTGCTTAATGAAAGCATAGGCCATAACATTGTTCATTACCTCGAGGGTCAGCCTTTGTAACCTTAGGTGCTTCCAATTTTTTATCAGATTTGTGCCACTTTGCTCCGTGAAACACATTGGAAGGGCTAGTTCCACGGCTATTTCCATTAGAAAATCCTTCGGTTGGGGCAATTGAACCACTCTTTGTATCAGGCCGAATGCTTCCACTACTATGGTTGGAGAACAGAGTAGGGATATCCATTATGTCTTCTATATGTGTGCGATTGTCCCATCGAAAGCTCCATGATGGCGAGTGCCTCACATTCCTGTATGCTGATACTTCTATTGGAGTGATGCATGGCTGTGTCCTCTCCTTTGCAGCAATGCAGCAATTAGCTCCCATATTGCTTAAAGAAGGGGAATTAATATGCTCACAATTTTAACACTGAGATGCTCTGAGCTCATTCATGTGATACAAATGTAACAACCCGACACTGCCTAGCTGTACAGGGAGACAATAACAATAATAAGGTCGTTTTCAATAAAGAAATGGGCAAAGACTTAATATAAAGTTAAAGACGATACTATGTACTATAGACTGGGGCACTCTAAGCCTACAGAGGGAGCTAGGGGTACCACATAGAAAGAAGAAAGCAACCCCGAAGAGGAAGCTAAGGGGCATCCATAGCAAGATCATCAAAAGAACCAGTATGATTGGAATTATTAAGCTTTGTTAAATAAAAATGCACATGACAACCTTGCAGCTTATCTAGACATAGTGTATGTCTAAGTGCATAGTGAAAGCTATGTATCTAGAAAAGCCAAAATGTCTTATAATTTGGAATGGAGTGAGCACTAGAAATGCAATCCACAACGAATGGGGCAGCATACAGCAGGGGAAGGGACTGGAGAGAGGCAATGGAATGTGACAAAGCCACAAAAGGAGAAACGTAAACTAATGAGTCCAACAATAAGACATAAATGATCAGATAGGGGTCATAAGCCCAAACTAGGATAAAAAAAAATGCTTCTTGTATGGAGAAAGCAATTTTTCTAGCAAATGGAAGAACACTAGTAGCATGCTTTTAGTACAATTGCATTCCCTCATACATCCCTAAACACTTGCAGGTGGGAACATCAACATCTATAAAGCAACCACCTCACTTATTCACAATAAGAAAGCTAAAAGGAATTAAAAATAGATGCTTGTTTATAACTGAAGGCACAACGTTAGGAAAGCTGGCTAACTACAGTTGGGTGAAAATGTGTGGAGGAAGAAAGCAGCTGTTAGGTAGACCAGCGTCAAGACATTCCAAAACTAAAGTACACTCAAAGGCCACATCCTTCGCCCCACACAACAAAATAGCATCTCGCATCTATCCTTACTGCCGAATAAGCACTGTGCAAAATCGTGGCAGGATGGAACAAGTATAATATTTTATTGTCCGGTATCCGATTAAAGCAAAATAAAGACAATTCTGCACCCAGAGCCAGAATACAATACGATTTGCAATTCGAACAGGTCACGAGTATATATTGCTTTCAAGCCACAATTATTCTCCATGCGAATTTTTTTCCGTCGATTAGTAACCAAAAGTGTCGATATTTAACTGATATAAATCACCAAAGAGCCGATGCTAAATCTAACTGATGAAATTGTGGCAGGAACTAACACAAAATATCAGGTGAAACCAATAATATATCACACTTGAATCATATGCAAAGAGTAGTAGATCACTAGGATAACAGATGAGAAGTTAGCACCGATCAAAACCCACAATTCATCGGGAGCTACCAGCCCGGACGGCACCGAAATTCCCCATTTCGACCCCCCCAACTAACGCAAAAGGCGCCCCCTTAAGTTCGCGGGAATTACCTCGAATCACGCGACCTAACGGCGCGGGGCCCGGATCTGACACCGCTGGGCCGCCGCGACGCCCGACGCCTAAGACCGCTCCCCGCCGCCGCCGCAAGCAGGTGCGTATTCCGCTAGGGTTGGGGCTCGGCCGGCGGGGGTGAGATTGAGATTGAGAGGAAGGGAGTGGAAGCGACGGAGAGGAAGGAAGCGGAGAGAACGGCAGTGTGGCTGTGCGGGTATAAAACCCGGTGCGGATGGGAATGGGTCTCCAACTCTCGGTTGCCGCTTGGCGCTGCGCGTGCCTGCGAGCGGAAACGAAACTGCTCCGGCCACCACTTGAGTGGACACTAGACTGCGCCTCGCGACGCTTCCTTCCGCTGCCGCTGGACCACGTGCCCAGCGCCCAGCGCCAGCTTGCGTGTCCCGGCCCGGGCCCACCTGCATTGACTCGTGAGCACACGGTGTCCACCTCTCTAGCGGCGTTCTGCGGAGGTTTCTTCCGTTAGTGGCTACCATGGTTCGTCTCCGTACCAAAATAAGCGTGTCTATGATATTCATGTCGATTATTTTTTTAAAATTTAATTAGATATATAGAAAATATTAGCAAAAATAAATTTCATAATGATCAACTAGAGGATATATACTCGTCACTAGCAAACAGTTTGGGATAGTTCATACACGTCGGTTCGAGGGACCCAGCAGAAACCTCGCGGAGACGGTTGTCCGCTGTCAGAGTCGGGCACCAAAGTATCGCTACAGTCTGTCGCTACAGTCGTCCATCATGTGTGGTTTAGAACGTTAGAACCCAATGGATCTCTAGTGTGTGCACCGGAGAATGGAACTAGAGAGGGCTTTTCACCGAAACTCTCTGGTGGTTTAGCGGAGATGTCATCAGAGTGATCTACATTTATAGTTCAACGACTATGAGTCTTTGAAATTTGACCGTTGGGATACTCCAATGTTCACCGGAGCTATCGGATGCGTAGGCAGAAAGTTGATTAAGTTGGTAACAGCTAGTTTTGCATGGGGGCTAATAAAATAGGTGGTGAGCTGAGGCATTTCACCTCTCTTGGACCCCTTGGCTGATATCCACACACATTTGAGCTCAAGTTAAGCCTCCATTCACATTTGCTTAGTTGAGATTGCATTTGGATGAGATTGTAGAGGATCCAGTGTATTTGCATTAAGAGTTTGCATCTAGTAGCAGTAGTGACTAATTGAGGCTGCTAATTTCTTGTTATTCTTGGTGGTTGTCGCCACACAAATGGTTTGGAGCAGTTGGAATTTCCTTGAAGCACTCAATTGGAGATTGTGAAGAGCCTAGGACATCGATTGTAAAGGGCTCTTGTGCTTATCCCCGCAGACGATCGCGAAGAGAAACTCTAGTGGAACCGAGGCTTGTGGAGTGCCTAGTTGATCGACCGACTCATAGTCAAGAGCTCACGTTGGAGCCAAGCTTAAGGGCTTGTTGAGCTTGCGAAGGAGCAACAATCCTTGGACTTGCCTCAATGGAGAGTAGGATGTTGGCAAGCAACTGAACTTCGAGAGAAAAATATTGTATCATCTTGTCTCCCTTGTGGTTTGCTCCCTACTACACTTGTTCTTTACTTTGTGCAATCCTTTTCTTCTGTAGTTTCTAGAGTAATCGAGTCGCTCTTATAGCTCTTGTACTTAACTCGAGTAGATTGCTTGCTCTAGCGGTAGCTTGTTGTTTACCTTCTCACCAGAATTGTGTAGGTGTGCTTGAGCTTAGCCTTAGTTTTTCTAGTTGCTTGCTAGTTTGTAGTCTTGGTTCTAGTCTTGTGTAGAGCTTGGTCTTGCTTAGACTAGGGTCGTAGTGCTTATTAGGGCTCACCTTTGTTATTAACTATTGTACCTAGTTGTGTTTGTGCCTTGTAAAATTTTTAATAGACTATTCACCCCCCCCCTCATGCTATCACCCAATCCTTTCACTAAGTCAAAGCATTATTCCAAAACTCTGGTGCATGCAACTTCAGTGCGCATATGACAGCTGCAGTGCCCTATGCGACAATCAGACTGATCTAGCATGGAGCATTGTGTCAAAGCTCTTGTGCACACTGGAAAGCTCCAGTGAGTGTAAAAACACTACCAAACTCCTTTCTCAAACCTTTTACAAATTGGCTAACTCCAAGAGGTGTCCCACTGGACAACCAACATCTTTACCACTGAGTTATAGCATTTGCAAAACATTTTGAAAGGTTTTCTCTTGCTTCCTCACCACACCACTTGATCTAATTAATACATATGCAATGTTAGACCTCGCCTAGTGGCAACACAAAAGCAAGGAATGAATGCAACGTTGACCACGCCTATGGCTTCCCGTGATTTAATTGAATCAAACCACCTATAATGGAAGAAAATTCAATAGTGTTCTAATAAAGCAGCAGTGAGCGTATAATACACCGAGTGGATGCCTAAATCACATCTTGTTCTGTTGAAAGATTTAAAGATTGGAAGGTAGGAACACATGATAATGCTAGTTTAGTTGTGGAATGTCCTCAAGATCTCTTCATATGGATATCCAGGACTCACAAAGAATTTGTTGTCTTTATAGTACAACTATATATACTAAACCCGACTAAATCACTTCTCCAATCACCTTAGGCCAGTGAAAGCAAACATATCTTACACCTTTGCCTTGCTTTGCTTTCATCCATCTCATATCCATCAATCACCTCTATCATCTCCTCTCATCTTGAGCCCTTGCACTTCATGATCCTAACCACCTCCTCAATGACCTTCATGTTGTTCAAGACAAGCTTGTGGACTAAGTCACCTAATCATCTCACATGAAGTACATTAGTCCACTAATGTTGTCACTCAATTACCAAAACCAAACTGACACTTTCAACTATCTGTGTGCATGCTTGGGTTTTCTTGAGGAGTATCTTGAAGACTTGTTACTTTTGGTGTTTGCCAGCACCTAGATGACCCGGTGAAGGACTTGGTGACCTTCCTCAGTGGAGCTATTCTGAGGAGGCTCCAAGGAGCTTGTACATGGTATGAAACCCACCATGTTGGAGTGGTGAACGGGTATTCACAAGTGGAACCTGTATCCAAATCTTTGTGACTTAGTTGCTCCAAGGTGGATTAGAGGATTACGGCAACAATCCAATATCAAGGAGAAATCCAGTTGTCTCTTTGCCTTCCTCTTTCATACTTGCTTTACATTCATTGCTTGTCAAGTCTCATTGAGTGACAACTAGGATTTAAGTTAGTGTGTGTTTAGCATAGGTTTCATTCTTGCTCTTAAGGACATTAATCTTATTGTGAACCATGCTAAGGACATGATTAGCTTGTTGCCTATAAGGACTGACTAGCTTGTCTTTTAAATACATTAGGAGCCACATTGTTTGGGGATTTAGAAATTTCATATGTTAAGGTTTATCACTTTATATTTTCAGAGCTCAATTCATCCTCCTCTTGGGCCATTCGGTCTTACACCCACATGCATAGATAAGGGTCACAAATTGTAGGATCATAATTAGTGGAATCATAAAATCATAAATTCTACTTAATAAAATCAAAGAATCAATCTAATAAATTAAGATCATAAAGCTGTAAAATCACACTATAGATTCACAGGTTTGACAACTATGGCTAGAGGACACCAATTCAAGGTTATAGTGAACATAAGCTTCATGTTCAACAAACATCACTGTGTGACTTACATTTCAAAATAAATATCACAATGATTTATACTTTAACTCCTCAAACTCCAATTACTCTGTGTTTGGTTGCAAGGTCGAAGAGAGATTGGCTAGTTTGGTCCCTCTTTCACATGTGTTTGGTTTGAAGACAATAAGTGATTCATCCCTAAGAGGAATATATCCTAAGATGTAGGTTCACCTTATCCTCGGAAAACGAAGGGACATGCGCGTCCCTTTTATTTGTCATCATGGGTCGTTCGCTCCATCCTCTTCACGAGTGACGAGTTCTTGAGGTCGGTCACCTATGGTAGCAACACGACACCATCGGGACTCAAGTTCAGCTTGACGATGTGGCGCTCTAGAGCCGACACTAAAGTCGACCTAGTCCATGTGCCACCCTAGGCGATGGAGGTCAATGCGGAGGAGTTTAGGTGGCTAAAATCAGGGCAGAGAAAGCTAGGCAGCTGAGGTTCGGGTGCCTGGCGTCATGATTTAGGGTGACGAACAAGGAGACGCGGTTCAGCGTGAAGTTCATGAGGCGCATGAAGAATCGAGGGGAAACGAAGTGAAAGCGGGATGTATGAGAGGATGACAGGTGCCCCCAGCCCGACTGACTAATGGTGTTAATGGTTGTCCATCCCACTTGCCTAAATCACCCCAACCAAATAGAAAACATGATGGGCCTATCCTTGTCTACAAAACACATAATGGGAACATCCTATTCTCAAAATCAGGAATGGAACCAGAACGTCCCCAAACAATAAAAAATGTTTCACCAACTGGTTGCAGCTTGCAACAATAAGATAACAATTCAACAGCAATCTGTGTGCTAACGATTTCCAGATTATGTCTATAATCCAACAATAAATATTACAGATATAGAAGGTGCAGAGAAAATAATATGGCATGCTGTATTTCGACCTTTCAACACAGCATGATACCCTCCTGAAATTTATACCCTTTTTCTGTTCTATTATACTGCTGACTATGACTATTGTCTGCACGAAAACAACCACCCTTGGTTGCATACTCGCTTACTATAAGACATAATTTTACACACTACATTTGTGCTAGCACAATGAGTGCTTCTACGATATGAATACTGCAGAATCATATATATTGTATGGCCAGCTCAGACAGACCAAACCCTTGCACCAGTCTGCCTACACTAGATCATTGCTTATCAGGAGCTCACAGCAGCAGCCATGCCCTAGTAAATTAACATGAAAAGATAAGGCACTATGATTTTCTCCACATTGAATGATGTCAAGCTGGCTATTCTCTCCAATGCCTTGACCAGAAGCCCTTCTTTCTTGTTGGTTCACTCCCTGAAACTGGTGTTGATGGTCGAGAACCAGAGGAGAAATGTCTCCTCGAAAACGGACGACTAAACGTATCCTTCATGCTAGAACTTGTGCCAAACCTGGGTTCTCTCTTAACTTTCTTCTGGAGCTTAGAGCTCCCATCAAGATCAGTATCAGCCATATTTTTCGATGCCTTGTTTTTAACCTTCAGTTCCATCTTTTTGAACAGTTTTTCTGTACATGCATCACCATGGGTGCATACAGGACAAGGAGGATCATATTTCTCACTTTCTGCAGTAATACTATCTAAACAATTTGCATGATATGCATGACCACAGAATAAAACAGCAACTACTGCCAGTTCATGACCGTTACATGAAGACCGCTCCTTTAATAGCCTCGAACATAGCTTGCATACCTCTTGGCCAGGGGAGAGTACACTGGGATGTGAACCATTTGATCTTGATGTTTTACTAGCAATGGAGCCAAGGAGCTCATTGTCAACAGACCACCTATGTCTTTCAGTTGTGGCCACCATATCAGAGGGTGTGCGAGTTGACCACCCATCAGATGTCTCACCTTGCAACTGCCCTGCAAACATATCATTGCTACAGGCAGAAAGCTTGGAGCTTGATGGCCTTTCTGCAGAGCTGTTTCCACTTAAAAGTTTGAGGGATGGAATGTTTCCATCCAAGGTCTGCCTGTATAGTTGATGCCCAGGCAATTGGGTTGCTTCCCTTGTCGAATTTGGGTCAACGCAATGCAAATAGAATGACTTCTAGAGGAGGAAGGATCTTCTGAATCTGCCTTCGGTACAGGGGGCGGTGTTGAAGGAAGAGACTCTGATGTCTTTATATCTGAAGCAACAGTTACTATGTCAGGGGCTTTAGAAGACTTAGCCTGCACAAGATGGTGAAACAGCAATGGAAATAATCATTAGAAACGATTGTATAGCTCAATAATCACATCTACTAATTTGGAAATGAGAATGATACGAGACTGCACAAATGCCCAGTACCACATACCTCAAGAGTTGGATTGGCTGCAGTAGACTGATGTGCTGAAAACATGAAAAGAGATGTCAATAAAGAACGATCTATTTCTCCAGTGCTTAGCTGTTTGTTCCCATAGGCAACAGAACCTCTGCAGGGTGGTTATTTGTCACTATATGGGTTTAGCTTATGATATGTTTGAACTGCAAGTTTGATAATTTAAAGGTATCAAGATATGTGGTATTTGAGTTTTTATCATTTTAGCATGCACTGAGAAAAAAAAATGATTGACTCATGGAGAAGAACAAGAAACACAAAATTAAGCAATGAGGAAATCAACTTCATTTCATTGTAGCATACATGTATTCCTATTCAGACAGTACATACCCATAACCATTCAATCAGTAATATGAAATCCATGCAATTTGATACATGTATTCAGACAGTACATGGAACGGGAACACAGGACAGGAGTAAATACTAAGCACAAGAGTATTTCAAGCCTATACCTGGAGGATCAAATTTTGAGAGCTTGGATGCTTCCATCTTTTTGTCAGATTTTTCCCACTTGACCCTGCGGAGGACATCAGAACGACTATCCCCACTGTTATGGCCTTCAGTTGGTGTAATGAAACTATTCTTTACTTCTGGATGAATGTTTCCACTACTTTGATTAGAGAACACCGTACTGTTCTCCATTATATCCTCTATGTATGTACGGTTGTCCCACCGGAAGCTCCATGATGGTGAGTGCCTTACCCGGTATGTAGAAACTTCAACTGGAGCCATAGATGGCTGAGAACTTTCCTTGGCAGCTATGCAGCAATTAGCTCCCATATTTATTACAGAAAAGAAGTCAACGTCCTTTATAGACAACCTTAATCAAATCTCAGAAATTGACCATGTGATCAGAAATTGCTAGTCATACTGTCATACATAACATGCTGCCAGCCCCAAGGTGACACTGCAAAATAATGAAAACCATCTCATATTCATGAAGAAGCAAAGGAATGACTCCAAGAAAACAATAGCAGAAGTGAGGGCATTATCAGCTATTAGCTATATACTAAAAGGTCTTGAATCATTCCTTGTTGGCACAGTATTAAAAAGTGAAATCGACCTTAACAAGGAACCAACGAGCATCAGAAATAAGCTTACTTAATACAGTACAAAGTAGGTCCAGTGTTAGACTTTCTGTTAAACTTTGTGAGAGATGAATTACTAGGTAGGGAGCAATTGCCTTGCAATATATATGTCTGAATAGAAGCAAACATAGGATGGAAAAGAGAGAACAAATTGTATACACAAAAAATATAATATGAGGTTAACTGATCCAAATACAGTGCAACAAATCTCATGATGTTTTTGTGGACCCCTTCCTGGGAAAGACCTACAGGGGCAGACCAAAGAAGACAGGCATCCACTAGTGGCTAAAGTTTGTTTGAGACTGAGTCAATTATATTTTGTCGATCTAGATTGGTTTGGTTAGCAAGTTTGTTAGGGGCGGCTCTATACCTATGAGATCGACATAACTGTTGAGATTAAGCAAGAATAAACGTAAGATTTAGAATCTCCAGAGGGAGGGTGAGTTCAGTTTATCTCTGCCATCCCCATCTACTATAATAACCGACCAACCAGCCATAACACATGAACATGTAAACCACTAATAATCATCTCGGCGAAAGGGCCTCTAGCTGAGTTGGTTAAGTGGCTTGAGTAGCACTCCTTATATTTTGGGTTCTACTCCCCGTGGGAGCGAATTTCCAGGCTGGGATTAAAAAAAAATCCCCTCATTTGTTCCACGCCAAATCACAGATTTAAGGCCTGGCCCTGGTCGTGGTCGTTCTCACATGGGCTACGGTACCGATGTGTATGGGTGTGGCCAGGGTTCTGGGGTTTGCTCGACCTGCGTGAGAAGGTCTTCTTCTTAATACAATGCCCAGGGCTGTCTTACCCCCTACAGGTAGAGTTTTAATAATCATCTAGCATTTGGGGAAATTAAGTTTAGCTTTGTTAAGTTCAATAAATCATAAAATTCAGAGAATTGATTGGGGGAATGATTTTCTGAAGGTAAGTGTATCTTGTGGATAAGAGAAAACCAGTAGCTCATTTGAAGTATGAGAGATAATATTCTAAATCTTATGAACATAGGAGCACTGTCAAGCACCACTGAAGTTAGAAATGAAAAACATACACTAGGAGCCAACCATTTGAATACAATACAAACAAACTCCTCAAAAAATTACATTGAAAAAGAATCTCACATATAATTAATGGGGGTAAACATGTTAAGGAGCTTAACAATAGCAAGAGAATCCACGGAAGGCAAGATCAGGTACCAATGTCTGATGTATTCCAAAACTAAAAAGAACCTACCTCTCCCGACAGCACATAAGCATCTTTGGTGCATAATTATGTATGTATGTGTATGTCAAATCAAGAATTGTGGAAACCACAAGGCTGGATAGCAAGAACAATCACGTATTCGGATATCAGATTGGCGCATAAGGTACACCAAATGTACGAAGCTTCTTTTGTACAATTATTAAAAGTGGCGTTTCAGCATAATCATGACCCATGAGAATAACGATGCCAAGGCAGGGGTGCATAAGGTACACCAAATGTACGAAGCTTCTTTTGTACAATTATTAAAAGTTGCGGGCCACGTCCAAGCGGCGTGGGCCTTGCGTGGGTGCACAAAACGCAGGCGTGTTAGCGTGAGTGCGGGCGTGGAGTGCAGGCGCACGAGCGGGAAACGGAGTGCAGCACGGGCGTCCGGACACAGGCGTCGTTCATCCAAACGTTAGGGCGCTAGCACTATGGTACATCAAATAAGTTCCAAAACATGTAATAAATACTACTGTAATAAAGGGTTAATCTCAGATGAGAAATTAACAGGATGTTGACGTGGCTTGTGTGCAACCGATGTGCGTTTAAGAAAGGGGGAAGACAAGCCACACGCCCACACATATGCCACCCGTGAACAGGCTCAGGTGGCTAGCCCATGACATGAGTGGTGTGACATGTACAAAGATTTTGGAGCTCCAAACTCAATGAAAAAATAGCTATTGTGTGCAACTATTATTGTAGTCAAGAGGACCAGATCGGATACTGAACTAGACAACTAAGACAACTAGTCAACTTCTCGGCTCATTCACCCTGTTCGCTTGATCGTTTCTGTGGCTTATAAGCCGGCTGATGCTGTTTCGTTGTGAGAGAAAAATATTATATCATGGCTGATACGATCAAGCGAATAGGGTGACATGTTTGTTTGGTACAATAGATTCTACCGCCGGCTCAACACAATTCAAACACATGGGTATCTGTTCCAAAATCAACAACACATGATAGTTCGGTGGGGCAACTTCTCACAAATGAACACCTTTCCTCAGTGCCATCCCTGTCTCTATGCCATCAGTGGTTCTAAGTCCGTTCAATTTTGGCCAATTTCTCTAAAAAATTGATGGTTCAATCTTTTTTCTGGGTTCTATTAAACACTGATCTTTGAAGTGGATCGAACAGAGGTCCTAGGCCTGTTTTTTTATCCTAACAAATTGGTGCGTGAAAAACGGTCTTTAGCAACGGAACAAATTTTTTGTAGGGGCGGCTGGTGATGGAGCTGCCCCTACAGTGGCGTGCTCGGGAGCCCAGAAACCAGCCGCCCCTACAAATAGAACAGTAGGGGCGGCTCAATCACCAGCCGCCTCCGGGATTGTCATTTGTAGAGGCGGCTCGATCACCGGCTGCCTCAGCAGATGCTGCATGTACAAAAGGCCTCCTCGCGTCGCTCACTCGCACCCCGCCTCCACCTGCTCCCTCCCTCCCTCCCTCGCCTCCGCCGCCCTCCTCCTCGCCTTCCCCGTGCAGATCCGGCCTCGTCCTCGCCTCCGCCGCCCTCCTCCTCGCCTTCTCCGCGTAGATCCAACCTCCTCCTTACCTCCCCCGCTCTCCTCCTCGCCTTCCCCGCACAACTGCGGCGGCGTGGAGCCCCGGTCAAGGCAGTGCACGGGTGCTGGCTGGTGGCCGGCGGCAGATCCGGCCACGGCGGGCCTAGATCCGATCCCCATCCCCACGCGGCGAGCGGAGGCTCGGAGAGGGGCCCGCTCGGAGCGATGGGATGCAGCCGAGGCCAGAGGACGCCATGGAGGAGGTGGAGGCCGAGGCGGCGCCCAAGGCGGCGGTGGTTTTTTTTGCTGTACTTGCAAACGACAACCAGGAGCTCAAGAGCGACCTCAAGGACCTGCCCGTTTCTTCCGCATGGATGGGAGTCACAACCTCATCCCCTTCCCTCCGCTCCGCACAGGCCGTCCGCCTTCGCCGCACAAAGCAGCGCTGCAGCACCCGTTGCACACCCCCGGGTCTCCATCTGACCGCAGGTGGCGCCACCATCCCGTGGCCTCCACTCCTGTTCCCAGGCGGTGCCCCCTTCTTCGGCCTCCGCTCCGGCCCACTCCGGATCTAGGAAGGCACGAGCGGATCCATGGCGGCGCAACCCTCCATGGAAGCCGCAGGTCTCCAAGGTATGCTCGCACTGGAGCTGCTCCTTGTCACGCAAATCCACTGTGCGAAGGAGGCAAGGCCGGCATCGGGGTAGAGGAGCATAGGCTCAAGCGCACATCTCCCTCACCACCTTCAGGTTCGTGCCCCCTCCCTACATCTCTCACTTGCTCGTCCCCTCCGTCAAGATCAGGGAGATCTAGTTTTTTTTCGGAGAAATTTAGTATAGTTTGTGTGGGTTGATGTATTAATTTCGTCATAGCCTGTGGGGAAACCTTGTGCAGATTGAGCATGGTGTCCGTGTATGCTATAAACGAATTTGACATGTCCACAGATTCGAATGTGCTTTGCAAGTTACTATCCATATTTAGCACTTATGTTATGTGTAAGCTACTACTTAGATCAAGTTGATTTAGTGAAGCATCTTATAGAGCATTCGCCAGAGCTTCCATTTCCTCATGAAGCAGTTTATTTATAGATTTTTACAATGTTTTCTGCTTCCAATTCAGTAAATTATTTTGGTTTTTGCTTTCAACTCAGCAAAAGGTAAGAGTCTGCCTTTAGATGCTAATTAGGAAGAAAGTACAAAGGCTGAGATCTTACAACAAAACCAAATGAACTATCAGGGATAGCACTAAGTATTATATTGGGCAACATTAACATGGAGGTAGACTTATACTTTGTTTGTTTAATGTTTAGTATCTTGAGGCATATGAATTCAGAACAACTTGTTGAGATGTAGTAGCCTGTGGTTTTTGGTTTGGATATTGGGTGACGATGCTTGTTGTGACTTTGCAGCCAGATGGATGTTGCCGGGAGCAGGAAGGCTGTTGTGATCCACGTCCCGTACTGCCTGCGCAAGGCCTTCAGGAAGATCCACGTCAGGCTCGTCAGGGAGCTTGAGAAGAAATTCAGCGGCAAGGTGAATTTCTCGTTTTGTTTTTCTACTGCTGTGTTTAGTTTATATGCTAATTGTAGCTACTGCATAAGCTAGGACGAGGAAATGGATTTAGATGCCGTGTGGGACTCTTGCATAAAATTGATGGATCATTCCCACAGTTGTTGCATCTTGCATCCCTTTCTGTAATTTTGACATGTAAGTTCTCCCCATGCGAAAAATGAAGCATTTTATGCAATGATGAGTAACTTGTTACAAGATATCTTAAGACAGTTTACCTGTATACTTTTCAGGTATTTGTAGATATTTCAAAAACTCGACTGGTAATTTGCCTATTCTGAACCAACTAGTGTGCTCCATTCCGCTGGGTTCTTGGGTTCCGAAAATTGGTGATCCTAACAGTCGTCCATTGGCTATGTTGCGACCTAATGCATCACTTAGCTCTGCCCTTAACATGTTGGTTCAAGGTATGTTCTTTGCTCATTTTCCTGGAACTGAAAACTACAATTTGGAAATGCACAAGTCATTGGTGCTCCTTCTTGCATTTCCCATGTCAGCTCTTGTTTATCAACTGAAGTTCAACACCAGTTCCACTGGAAACTATTGGCTCTATTATGTAACTAATTTCTTTAGCTTGTACTCACTGTTGTATGCAGCTAGAGTAAGCTCAATACCAATCGTGGATGAAAATGACGCCCTGCTTGACACTTACTCTAGAAGGTACACCATTCTGACCTGCAGATGCCTGCTGTATTTGGCTGTGTTTCTTATATTTTTCCCATGTATTTATCTATCCATTTCACGTTGCAGTGACATCACAGCCCTAGCAAAAGACAAGGTCTACACACATGTTCGGCTGGATGAGATGACCATTCATCAGGTATGCTAGTAAATGCCACACACATCTCGATCAAGTCTTTTGGTTGAAAGCCTGAAACAACTCGTTTGGGCTAGCTGACCTTGTTTAACTTAACTATATATGGTGATTTGGTTAGAGGAACTGATACGTGAAGAGTTGGGAATTTGGAAATCGGAAATTAATGCATTATCTCGCTGCTATTTATTTCTGAATAAGTACACATTCTCTGTAAGCAGTTTGGAAAATAGCTTGGGGGTGTTTAACTTTGTTTTTTCGGTAATAAGAGCCAATGCTGATAAGATTTAAGCAGGGTGGAAGTTCTATCCTACATAATAGGGAAAGGAAGATTAAGGACTAGAAGTGGCTGTGCTGTGTAATTTCAAAACGGGGCTGTCCCATGAATTATGTATATGTTTTGGTTTTGGGCTTGAAACTGTTGTGTTGTGATTTTCAGGCTTTGCAGCTTGGACAAGATGCCAATACACCTTTTGGAATTTTTAACGGTCAGAGATGCCAGATGTGCCTCCGATCTGATCCTTTGCTGAAGGTGATGGAGCGACTGGCTAATCCTGGTGAGTCCACTGGAACCTGGAGGCTGCTGGTGTTGCTGCCCTCTGAACCTAAACCTGAAGAATAATGTCTTGACGTTTTTGGTATTTTGTTGCTAGGGGTGCGGCGGGTGTTCATTGTGGAAGCTGGGAGCAAACGTGTGGAGGGCATTATATCACTGAGTGATATTTTCAAGTTCTTGCTAAGCTTGTGAGAAGAGAGAAGAGGAGCATGGACATTTGTTTGTGACAAGTGACTGGAGTTTTAACAGTAGCAAACAGCAGGGTATGTGAAGCAAGCCGCCATCTCTAACCCTGGCACTCTCCCTCTCTCTGGCCTTTGGGCAAGTATGGCAGGATTGAAGGTGGCAGGCTTTTCGTTTTGTTGTCATAATATGAGTCTGTTTGTTATTATTGTGATTCTTATACTATAGAAGATGTTTAGAAACTTTTGGCTAAACAATCTTGTTTGGGCCACAATATTATAGTCAAGTTTGCCAAGATACTTATCATGTATTTTACTCGGATGATTTGGGGGAGCACGTGTTGGTAATTTGAATTTTTTTAGCGGAAAAATATACCATAGGGGCGGTTCTAGACTGAACCGCCTCTACAAATCGATTTATAGGAGCGGCTGATAACACCAGCCACCCCTATAAATCGATTTGTAGAGACGGTCTGGAAACGGTCCCTACAAATACATGATTTGTAGAGACGGTTTGGTAGGAGCGGCTGGCCAAACCGCCCCTACAAATGGTTTTAAGCCGCTCCTACAAACCCTTTATGTAGTAGTGCGTTCCTTTAAGAAAGGGAGAAGGCGAGCAATATGCCCACACATATGCCACGTCACGACCATGACATGAGTGGTGTAGCGACAACGATGGTTTTGGAGCTCGAAACTCAAAGCAAGAAGGGTAGCTATTGTGTGCAACTGTAATGCCTTTAAGGGGAAGGCAAGCCACAAGCCTGTGCATATGCCACATTGTGAACGGGGGCTAGTCCATGACATGAGTGGTGTGATATCAACAAAGGTTTTGTAGCTCCAAACTAAAAGCAAGAAAGGTGAGAATGAGGGACAATGGACCAAGAGGAGTGAGAGATGGAAGAAAGAAACTAAATTTTTAGAAATAAATAATTATGTATATATTGTTTAATTTATGTTAAATAAAAAAAATCATGAAACCAACTTTGGTAGATCTAGGTTGCCTTGGTATCTCTTTTTTCAATCAATTGATAGCAGAGACTATTGTTTACTAGTGTGGTTTGTAATAACTTCTAAACCTAATGCTTGCAATCTTATAATAAAAATGTAAGCAAATTCGTATGAGGTTCTAATATCATTAACTGCTATGTGCTATTTTCTAAAAATTCTAGTACTTAAGAAATAGTTCTGCAATGAAATAGTTCCAAACTATTTTATTTATGCGACCTTGTGGCCTGGTATTTCTTTAAATGAACACAAATTGGATTAATTTGAGAACTACTTCCTAATTTTAAGTGAAATGAAATAGCCAACCACGTCAATGATAAATATATCATGAAATGAGTTCAATCAGTTATAAACCGTTCTAAAACGAGCACAAAATAGATTTATTTTCGAAACATTTTCATGTTTGTACATATTTGAAATGATATAGACAACCACAACTTATGACAATGCTAAGCTATTTTGTTTATACAGGTTCAAACCCACGTGAGGAGGTAACAACTTACATCATTGTGTTTATTTCATGAAATAAACCTCGCTCATAAATAAAGGAGGAAGAACATTGCAACCGAGGAGTATTTTGATGATGCTTTGCATATCAAGAGGGATCATAGTGAGGAGGATGGAGACAAGAATAACAAGGGGTCTAAATGCTATAAGTCTAAGGGGTGGGGACATGAAAAGAGAGTGTCCAAGACTGAAGAAGGATGGAGGAACCGTAAGTGTGGTAATTGCCAGAAGAATGATGATGTTGTAGAACCTCTCAATTTATATGAGCTCAAGTGCTCCTTCCATAATCCTAAGGACCTTTGGCGAATATGCATGCACTTGATCCCATATAAATCTGGTAGTTAGTTGAGTGCTAGCGAGGGACCTCGATTCAATCGTGTTTTACAACTCAGGATTGAATATTGGGGTTTAGTACAACCACATTACACATATAGATTGCAATGGAAGTATTATTACAACCTAAAGTATTTGAAATATATAGTTAATACAACTAATTTCAAAAGTACAATTAAAATTGTCATAACATAAGTTCAAAGTACATACAATACATAAGTTCAAAGTACTTTATCTAGGGAAATGACAACCACATAACCAAAGCATTAGTTAAGTCCTGTGGACATAAGGTGTCAAACCCACTGACACAACATAACTAAACAAGTACTAAAGAAACAAGACGAAGATCATGCCATGTCCATGGTCACGATCTTGACCATGACAACACATGTGGTGGTAGTTTTCTACATGGACGAACATGCATTTCAGGTAGAGCTCCACGTATCTAACTTCGACATGTACAATGATGGGTTAAGAACCTTGAGTGGGGTAAATGAAAGTCTCAGTTTGGTTTTGGTAATAGAGTGACAACCTTAGGTAGACCGATGAGTTTCATGTGAGATGAACATGTACTTATTTGTCCACAAGCTAGGATGAGCAACATGATTTCCAAGGAGGAAATATAGCTTGTGCATGTGATGCAAGTGCTCAACTAGTGAAGGTTGATGATTTGATCAATATGATGGTCAAGAATAGGAGCTTATTGCATATGGGACATAACATAGTCTCATGTGGCAAGATGGTGAAGATCGAAGCAAGGCTTGACTGCGAAGGATCGGTTGTAGGAGTGAAGGGCAAGCTAGAGGATCGGGGCATGACAGACCATCAAGGTGGTTGTAAGGGACCATGACGCCTAAGAGGGGGAGTGAATTATGCAACTTAAAATTCTACTTCTAACTAAGGCCTCTAATTCCACCTAGTCAAAACCTATGCAAGAAAGTAATCTATCTAAATGTGCAACTATGGTTTTGCTAGGTGTGTTGCTATCTCTACCGCAAAAGAGTTATGCAACCTAGGTTCCAATCCTATCAACTAAGCTAGGGAAGTAAAGCACACAACCAAGGTAGCAATGTAAATGCGGAAGGTAAAGATGAGGTAGAGATGCAAACTCCCGTCGACGACTCCGGTATTTTTACCGAGGTATCGAGAAGCGCTAAAGCTTCCCTCTAGTACTTGTTGGAGCCCCTCGTAAGGAATCCCTCGCAAGGGCCAAGCTCCCAGTCGGGTAACTCCGTGGATAGCCTCGGGCGATCCTCGTTTTGACAATATATGTAATTCAAGTATGTTTTCACATTCATCCCTACCTAAGCTCCATATAAACTTTTAGAAGTAGGCAAAAAGAAGGCACGTCATTGATTCCTTGGTGAGGATCCAAAAATACCATATATACAGAGTGATTTGAGAGTACCACAAAAAGGAGAAGGTAAGCTATATTTTGTTTTCACAAATCTTAAATGTTTCTCCAATTGACTTGACTGAAGGAAGATGGTGATCTATTTCAAGCTGTTCCATTCTTCAACCACCCAAAGTTTCATGGTAGACATTTCGAATCCCACGATACATGTATGACTGGGAATGGTTTTATGTTGATGCCTTGTCCTAAGGTTATATCTTAAGTAATCCACCCTTTTATCGAGGACGAGTAAAAGCCTAAGTGTGAGGGAGTTGTTGACGGTAGTTATCATACATATTTAACCATCATTTAAACATGTATAAGGGCATAAATGAATCACCAATGTAGACTTAGGGGTTTAAACTGACAAATTCCATGAGTTTTGGTGAATCTATGTTTCCAGCAGGATTTAATCAGAAAACCGCCAAGGAGGACCTAATTGTCAAAGGAAAACACGGAGTCCCACCGCGGCATCTACGTGGGAAGACTCTAGAAGGATCTAGGAGCCACATCACCAAAGTAGAGGACCAGAGGATGACATGTGGGGCTGCCTGGCCCCACTGTTAGGCCATCCGACCACCTGTGGGCCCACCTGTCAGCCTCGTCGCTATGTCGGTTTCCCACCGCCTCCTAGGATGCATCTCCGTCGTTGTTTAAGTCAGTTTGATCCAAGGGCTCATGTTGGACCCTCAGGGCTATATAATCTAGCCCCTGCCTTTCCCTCCATGCATAAGCCTCATTTGATCGTGTGAGCTGAGAATCCAGAAACCCTAATTCATATGTCCACTAGGATCAAGGCTAGCAATCAAGAGAAGATTAGTCCTCGATAGGATCTAGTCTTGTTCTAGAGATAGAGAGATAGAGTGAGAGGGAAGAGTTTGGAGGAGTCCCAGCCTGTCGGTGCTCTCTCTATGGCTTGTACTCTAGCCGAATCAATTTCTTCTTGAGCTTGCTTCTGAGATTTCTCTGGTAATCGACTTCTAATTCAAGTAAGCATCTTGTTCATATTGTTCTTTAGCTTTGCGACTCTCTTTTGAGTACTTTAATCCTTGTAGCTCCTGGGTTAAAGTAGTATTCGTAGTATAAGCGTGGTGCTTAGACTCGGTTACTCATAGATGTACCCTATTTTCCGGATCGGTGGTAGCTCGCGAGGGTGACTTTTATAGCCTCGTTGAATCCTCTATAGTCGACCTCCCGTTAATAGGACTAGCAGGACAGTATTGCTATAGGAAACATACTCTGTCTGTGTTTTCTCTAGTATTATCCCCAGAATTGAACAATAGAAGACAAAGCTTACCGAAGTTAGAACTAGAAGACCTTAGTAGTCTCCTCTACGCTCCTATTATCTAGCCTTGATTGTGAAGTTGGGATAAGTTAGATTTAGTTCTTCTCACACATGTTTCCTTGAGTTCGATATAAAACTAGGTACTCTCGGTGATGTGCTACATCGGTATAATATTCGTGTGCTTGCAGATTATTCTGTGTGCCTTAATTTATACCAACAACAAGCAAACTTTTATAAGCATCTTGTGAGTTAGCTAACTTTCTTTTAATTCTTCATTTTTCTTTACAAGTTGCTCATTATTGATTGTGCATGCATTTGTTGTTGCACTAGCCTCAAGTTGCTCAATTTTAGTAGATAGTTCAATATTAAGATTAGCAAATGTCTCATATTGTTCAAGCAAGGTTTTATATGCTTCTTGTGAACTATCTAGCTTTTCCTGCAACATTTTTAGCTTCTTTTGTTGGCTAATGCAAGCCTTAGCATATTT